CAGAAATTGTTCCAACTAAAATTTGGGGTTTACTTTCTTTAGAAAGGAAAATATTTTATCAGTGCCTATAAATCTGATGTAATTCCTCTATCCTCAGATTACATATATTTACAGGGGAAACATGTAGCACAGTATGCAGAGTTATCATAACATAGATGCTGGGACTCAACAAAACACTGTTTACAGCTGGCTTCATTCAAAATTCCTCAAAATCAGTAGAAAACCTCCTTTGACTTTGAATAGCTCCAGGAAGGTCCATATTAGGCATAAGAGCCCCTAAGTATTTATCTGTAGGTTACAGTTAACTGTTTGGTTATGCAAATAGGAAGTGTTTACTGAGTTGCGTGAATGTTTGTATTTTGAAAAGCTCACCTGCTCCTCTGGGGCTTTAAATGTTTTATTTAATAATTCCAATACACTGCATAGAAGGGCAAGTGGATGAGAAAGGATGGGGGCTAAGAAAAAGGAGAAATGACTGAAGAGAGAAGTCAAAGTAGACATCAAGAAGCAAAATCAAAAGGAAGAAAATGGAAAGACAGTGGGAAGGATAGTGAGGGAGGAGAGAAACAGTATATCCCAGAGATGACTTAGGATAAGCTTGATTTACCTATTGTGTAATTGCAAACGAAAGAAATGAAAGAGGGAATAGAGAATGCTTAGCACAAAGATGGCAGCTCATGGTCAGATATATCAGTTCCAGGGTCTTATTGCATGGTGTGTGCTGGGAAGGCCTACCAGGGGGAAGGAGGAGTGGAGACAGACAGAAGCCACCTATAGAGAACGTCTTCCCTTCTCCCCTCAGTTTCCCCTGTATTCCCCCCACCCCCAGCCCTCTACGCAGCTGCTTATGACTCAAATGTCACTAATGCATTCTGTGTGTCTCTACTGCACGCTTGGACAGCTGGTGGCAGCTGCTGTGTGCGGGTTTCCTGCTCAGTCTCCAGCAACAACGTAGTAACTAACTGGGTAAAGTGGTGTTAAAGTTGCCAGTGGGGACTGGCACTGTGATTTGTTGCCTGTGCGCTGCTGGGAGATGTGGGTCAGCCAGGGACTACGTGCATTGGGGTGGTGCTAGGAGCAAGAAAGCTGATGGGGCCACAAGGTCTGCCACAGGAGAAACCTTGCTGCAAAGTGTTTCTTAGGGCCTACTTGAGCAATTCTGGCTGTTAATTTTTGCCTGTGTTGGATTAGTGAGTTGTTTAGGGATCTGGGGCAAACCAGTAAAACAGGCTGATGAATCCACACGGTAGGTGCCAATCTGGGTTGCTGCCTTTTTTAGAAGTAAACAAGTAGGAACCATTGTTCATCTTCCTAACTCTCTGCAGGACACAGGCTGTAAATTACATCTAGGAACAAAAGGTTGATGGGAGTAGAACCGGGCTCTCAACTTCCCAAAGGAGTGCTTTGCCCTCCAGCCAAAAGAGCAGCTTTTCTTGCTTAAACCGGCACAGGCTCTTCTTACGCCTTCCCATCAGCTCTCAGAGCCCAAGAAAAGTGTGCAGTACAAGGTTTACCACACTGAAGCATTTACAACTGTTTCCATTACAAAACCTGTTTTCAGGATTGATAATGAAAATTAAATCTAGTCTGAAATTGAATCCAGTCTGAAACGCAGGAAACGAGATTGCAGTCTAGGGACAAGGAGGAAATCTTATTAGAAATAACATATTTTATTGATATTACAGATAAGTGGGTATAAAATCCTCCCTGCTCCCCCAAATCTGATTTTCAGCCAGTCTTACAGATCACCTGTAGTCTATGCAAAATATACACAGCCATGACCAGAATTACCTAATGAGATTTGTGCTTTTTATATTCGCCAAGACTATGTTCTTCAACTCCCCATAACAGGCTTGAAATATCTACCAAAATACGTTCAGAAAACTGTTTTTTAATTGAAAAAAAAAGTATTTCTGCTAATAATAGAAAAAAATATTTCAAATTATGAGCTTCCTTTTTCATAAATTTCTAGTTTTCATAAGAGAAATGCCATTTATGTTCACAGAAACAGAATTCCATTCTACCCTTCTTTCAGTTGTTCCTATTTGATAGTGAAATCAATTTCCATTGGCACCTTTTTTTCCATCATAACTACAGATTCATTCAGATACATTCATTGTCTTGTCTGTCCACATAATAAAATTCAGATGTATGTTACAGGGAGAGGCTGCCCCACTGAGTTCAGTGGAATTTTGGTCTTTCAGTTCAGCCAGGCCAAACTTTCCTCCTCTATGGGAATTCTCACAAAAATGTCTTTTTATATCACTGTAAGCTATGCATGATCCTTTTCTAGGGCTGCAACACATGTACTCCCTAATAAGATGTTAATAAAAATTAATTAGTGCTGACTACAGCTCACATGTGATAAAATCACAAATGAGTTATTTTGGTTTTGCTGTACTATATTGTTCCATCATAGATTCAGTATTCAATGTGTCAAAGGCATCACAGAAAAACACTTTTTAAAATGGTAGGGGATTATCCTTTTTAGTTTTATTGTTTCATTCTCTTCTGAAAACTTAATTCATTTGGTACCATTAATTATTTTACAAATTTTTGGTGCCACTGTTTTAGCTACTTGTTACAAAGGGAGTAAACAAGTTCCAAAAGCTCAAATATTTAGCTATATTAATAGGCTCACTTAAAATTATGCTGTGCTGCATTTCTTCAGCTGCAGATTTGCTTTAGATTTTTCTGTTCCTATGTATTAAGATTATCCCAAACTGAAAGAAAAGTTATATATTTCTCACAAAGAAATCCCCCAAACCAAACCAAGCCAAGCAAACAAACAAACAATCAAAAACCCCAAAACCACTTTTTCCAGAGTGGTACATCTCTTTTGACTAAATTTTCTTGGTAGCATTAGGCCCTACAGCCAGGCTAAATTTGATCTGCTGTCTACCTCAGACCAACATCTGTTGGCCATGTTTGGGTGGGAAAGAAGGAAGTATTTTTTGTCATTTTTTTGTTGGAATGCAAATGTCTGTCTTAGGTTGATGTGTAAGCAGGCAGATGGAATGTGAAATGGAAAAACTTACGTTATATAGATACAGCTCATTACTATTTTTGTGATTTATTGCATGAAATGAGATACCACGATCAATTCTTTTTCTTGTATACATCTGTCTTTTCCTTTTGCATTTGGTACTAAGCATCTTCATGCACCTTGTCTAAATGCATCTAATCTTAGCCCGGTTTTATAGGGCAACAAAGAAGACAGAGTCTTTCCAAAGTGGAATACCACTCACAACCGCCAAACACGTGCAGAAGTACTGCCTATGTTTCAATTTTTTAATTCTCTGTAATTATAGATACAGGACATTAACAGAGAGGTAATTTACGTTCATTAAAAATAAGACTCAAAATTATCTAAATTTTAGTTAAATATTCAGTTCTTGTTTCATCCATTTATTAACTGTGCACCAGCATTTGAAGTCCCACCAAACTTCATTTATGTATTTTCATGCCAAAACATTTATAGATATAAATGTACAGGAATTCATAGAAATATTTCTCCTTCCACTAATATAAACTCTAAGGTATATAGGAGATTGCTTTTTAATTGCTTTTGAAGCCATTTCTTTCAAAAGAAAGAGTAGTATATTAACTAAAGAAAATGGTTTTTATCTGTAATTTCAAAGTTGCTAGCTTCTTAATGAAAAGATTCCCCTGTGTTTTAAGGAAAGATTTTTCACTTTAACTTTGTCCTATCAGATATTCTAGAACTGTAGGAAAAGCCTGTTGGAACCTGTTGTAAAAATTTGGCTGGTTGAGGAAAGGATAGCCAGCCATCTCTAAGTCAAAAGTCAAAGAAAAGGCAAAGTCCTGAAAACTTCTTTATGTGAACTTCTTATGCCTGTGGCTGGAAAGACCTATCAGTATTTTTCCATTGTTTGTGTTCACAGAGATTAAAAATTAATGAGAAAATTCTTTCAAGTGGGAAGATCGACAAAATGTTAATCTGATATAGGAGCATTCATTCCAAGTTTGGCAAGTGAAACAGAAATCGGAGCATTACTGGCTGTCAGTCATTGCCACATGTTGGTTGTTAAAGGTGAGATGTGCTGGCTTTGGTGATCCCTGACGAACCCCTCATTCCACGGCACACAAACCACTGTTGCAGTTCTGCAGCTCTGAGGAGGGGCCAGTGCACGGAGACACCACTGGAAATCGTTAAGGCACACAACAGACACCCCTTTTGCTTATCTGCAGAGGCCTTGGGGTTTTCACGAGGGACTTCATGTGGCATCTAGAGCCACGCAAAACCCCACACTACAATGAACACCTGTCCCTCAGGAACTGAGACCTTGTCTGAACATCATGGATGTCATACCTTTTCATCCTGTTTCTCTGCTTTGTGAATTGGGAATACAAGGAATAATTCTTTCTATGCCTCATCCCATAAGTACAATAAAATATCGACCTTAATCCTGAGTATCACTGTGGTCATTGGCATTATTTACTACTCCTGCTGGAGCAGCCTGTGAAGAGAAGCCTGTAGGATGTGCTGTGGGAGACTGAACTGCCTTAACTTACCTTCTGCATGAGTTTATCCTCTGGCAACAAGCAAAAATATTGCAGAAAGCTTCATTGTAGAGCAGGCATTTTACTTGGTCTAAATTGACCTAAAAAAAAAAAAAAAAAGAAAATGGTGAGGTGGGACTAAATAAGCAAAATATTTTTGGGAAAGGTCTAGGCTATTATAGATGCTTTGCTGGAGTTCAGAATCTCTAATGCTTTTTTTGCAATAATGAAGAAATTTTAAAACGAAGGAGGGAAAGCTCATAACAAACAGTGCATTTTTGAGCTAACTCAGGAGAGATTACACAATTTTTCCTGCAAGCACAGTAAGTATAATTTTTGACTGTACTTGTGTGAGAAGAAGAGGTTTAGTGCCTCTTTAAAACTCAAGTGTAGCTGCTTAGTCAGTACTGGTTCCCCTCCCACATCCCCCCCCCTCCCCTCCTTCTCCTACTGCTGGGTAACTTTTGTTGCAATATGGGTGTGACTTTTGATGGAGCTCCCCCTCCCAGTTATGTCATTACTTCAGTTCCTTTGAATCAGAATAAAAAGTGCAGCAAACTTCAGACTCATTGACTGCGGGCTTAACAAGCGTCGGGGCTTTTCTTCTTCCTGCAGCTTGCAAGGATCTTTGGATTTTGCAAAACACTTCCAAGAAAACAATGGCCAACTTCTCCTTATGGGCGACTTTTGGATTATGTTTGTTGAAGCTTTGTCTAGCAGAAACACGTAAGTTTTTTATGAATGAAAACACTTATGAATGTTAAGTTTATGCTTCAGAGAGCAAGTGCTTTTCTGCTAGATAGCTAACAGCTTTCTTGCATCTATATAGTTTTATTATTTTTGAGTGTTATTAGAGATGTTTTAGAACTGTAGTCTTGGTTGTGCTGGTCTGTACAATCACAGAAAGCTGTGTATTGCTTGTAAAGGGCAATTCCAGATCTGTAAAAAGTAAATTGTAGATCATTAAAGTGAAGTTTAAGAACAGAACTACCTTAGGGAATTTGGAATGGCTCTGGTAAAGCTCATTTTGACAATGTGACTGCTGTTAACATACTTAGTTTGCTCTCCCAGCTCCATTTCAGACTATGGAGAAAAGGTGGGGAAGGGTAAAATGGGGGTGAACACACACCCCCCCCCCCCAGCACACAACAACTGCATTCTTGAGTTTGCAAGAGCTGAACCAACAGCTAATACATATTGAATTTGGACACAGCTGAACAGAAGCAAAACTGCAGTGATCTGTGACTAAAATGTGATGAGCTTTTATGCCAAACATGCTTGTTTCTGACTTTCTAAGGTTTCTTTAGAGCTGACTGATGAGATTTAGGAACAAAGGGGGTTAGAAGTGACCACAAAATTCAGTTGTTTAACTTACTGTAGCTTGGTTATCTGCTTCAAATATTTGTATTTAAAAATGAAATGTTAATACAGAAAAAAAAAATAAAAATTCTGTGTCCAAAAGGACAAAAAGCTTTTAAAATTTCACATAGTGCAGGCTCAACCATGTTTTAGGGAAATGACCATACTTCTAACAGACTCTCACTGTGACTGTAAGTGCCTCAAGGCATTTTGTGGTTAGGGATAACAATTGCACTTCTACATTATTTTTCTACTCATCAATTCTAGGAGTTTAACAAAATACATTTTTCATGTCCATTGTCACCCAAGGGCTACGTGTGTGTATGGTAAATATATATCTAATTTGTTTGAGCAGCAGTGGATACTTCTATAATGGTTGCAGCACTGGCGGGCTGTGAATGGGTGTGTCAGAGTGAACAAGTTCCCAGTGCATCTGTGATAGCTGAAGCACCCTCGTTGCTTTTCATTCTAAAAGTGTGTGTCAAATTAAAAAAAAATTCCAAAAGTGTTGTATCAAAATGTTCTTGCTAAGATCACGTTATATGGACAATGCCTTAAGAGCAAGGACAGGACTACTGTAGACAAAAAAAGTATGTCAGAGATGTGCTTAAAACCTTAGCTTGGTCCAAGTCTGTGCACTATATAAGTATTTTAATTATTTGTTTACCAACTGCTCAACAGATTGTTAATTTACATGCTGCCTGGAATGTCCTAAAGAATCAGGGTCTGCACTGACTCTGGGAGTAATGCACTTTTACAGTGAGGCATAACATAAAGCCCCATAACCTAGTCTTCAGCATAGTTAGAAAAAGTATGTCAAACAAAACATAAACCCCTGTGGGATATATGTTTCTTTAATGGCTCAGTAAAGTATTAGACTATAGCTACAACATATTTTAGTTGGTGTGAGCTACATTCCAGCACGACTTTGCAGTCAGTTAGGACTTCAAAACAGCAGTTGATGGTGGTGGTTTCTTTTTTAAGCCAGTAATTTTACTGTGTGTGACAGACTAATAGTCACTGCTGTTGGGATACTCCTGAATTGGAATTTTGATTCTTTTAGTACAGAATTTCATGAAATTAAAGAGGACCAGGTATTACTGCTAACATGATTACAGAAGGAAAAATCAGATACAGAGAAAGCTGAAAAACTTATTCATCCTGAGTTCTGTGCTGCTGTGACCATACTGTCACTGATACATGAGCCAGGTGTAGTCTTGGTGTTGGCGTGATTTTTGTTGTCTAAGAAGTCTGAATCCAGGAGGATACAGATGCTGACATCTTGGTGAATGTTTCTAGGGCTCATTTTCTCCAGTGAGCACTATGTATTTGTAAAAATGTTTCTCCCAAAATGTTCCTTGATTAACATAAAGCAAATCCTAGAATTTTGACCACCAAACTGGAAGAAACTGGAACAGAAGTAGTAGTAAAGATGAAATGGAAAGAGGGAGAATGAGTCTACTAGTGGGAGGGAGGAGCTTAGCTGTTAGCACTGGAGAGGTTGTCCAGAGTCCCACTACAAGGTAAGGCTCTGAGGCAGTGCTGCTATAGCTGTCAGTCAGTCACAAAGGAGGAGACCTGCCTGCCTCTTGGTTTATGTATCTATCCTGCAAATTTTTAAATAAAGCAGTTTGAAGAACCTCTTTGTGCTAGTTTATTTTCACTCAGTCCTTACAGTGTGTATCTTGGCTATTTTCCCAAAGCTACAAAGTAACTAGACTTTATTAGCATTCACTTGAACTTTCCATCATTGTTTAGTGGAAGGGTTATATAGCTCTCCTTGAAATACCCTCCCACATAGAACCAACAAACCATGGCAGGATTGTCTTGCAGTCTTTGGAGAAATGTTTGATGATTCTTTAGTTACTGGTGTTCTTCACCACAATGAAGAGCCATTACCTTGAAAACAGGAAGTCAGAGAAAGGCCTTATGAGGACAGATAGCATCATGCAATTGAGGAAGAACTTTTCAAAGTAAATGCTTTTAAAACTGCTAGTAACTCTAGCCAAGGTTAAACAAAATGTTCATCCTTACGTGGCATATCTTTCTTTTCAGAACAGTTCCCATGACTTTTATAGGCCTGAGTTGAAGACAGTATGAATATTGCAGTTATTCATTTGTCACCTATACATGCATGAGGTTCTACTCTATCAAGAATGTGCCAGCAGGATGAGATGATGATAGACGGATAAACACCATGAGCTCATTACTGCTAAAATATTTGTTGAAAAGATGTGATAATTTTAGTTCTGAACGTAGTTGACTGGTAGTAAAATGTGCTGTAACAAAGCAGAGAAAAAACAGTGTAGAGCTTTTAAGAAGAGAATTAATCAGTCCAAGAATTTAAAAGTTTTTTGGAATTCCAAAGATGCTGTAAAAAGGCTTCTCTATCTGCTTTCTGGTCTTCTTGCCTCATATTTCTGTTCAAGAATGAAGGGAAAAATGTTTGAAAATATAGCTGAGAAATAGAAGACCATATGACATGTGTTCTGTTATTGGTAAATCATTGTTTGGTTTTGGTCTTTTTTTTTTTCCCAAGAGAATGCTATGTGAGAGAGCAAGGGAAGGAGTTCAGCAAAACTCTCCTGCTTTTTCCAGCACCAAGGCTAAATGTACATAGTTGCCTGTGAAATATAACTTCACAGAGAGGATAATCCTGAAACAAACATGATCCACCACAGTAATCTTGCCTACTTTGAAAACAATACAACATTGTACTGGAACAATTAATGGTGTTCAAAACACATCATATTTTAGCATCAACTGGTATCTGAGAGCATGCTTATCAGATTTAGTTTTTCAGCATTAAACTGAATTCTTAAACTAGAGAAGTTCAAACTTCCAAGTTGCTACCATGTAAAACTCACATCCACAGTCTATTTTACTCTTTGCCTTTGCCTGTCAGGGTTTCTTTGTGATATATCTGGTGGTTTGGACCATTCTCGATGGGTTATCGATCATTGTAGGCGTGAGGCCAGTTTGGTGTAGCTGCTAGTCATTTTCCAGACCAGAAGTCCCCCAGCTGCTAACACACAGTTGTCTCTCGCTCCCAGAGAGGTAATAATAATTTCGAAGCTATCAGACACTGTAATTATCAGTGACCATTATGGGTACTGCCAATAGTGGTGGCAGAGAGGATTGTGTCAGTCCTGACTGTTTATCTGTTTCCTTCCTGCTCAATCACAAGCCTCCCCACAGTGCATCAGCAGTAATATCAGTAGCAGCTGGCTGTGATTTTCCTCCCTTGCCGCGGCTGCTGGAGCTGCCCCCACCCAAGGGACGGCAGAGCAGCTCATCATATGAATGAGTTTGCAGGCGATAATGTGAAATGGCAACTGAGAGAAAGAGGGGTTTTCCTTGGAGAATCTTTCCAGTCAGACTGAAAGTTCAGCTAATTTCAATTTAAAGTTCAAGCCTCCGTGACTGTTTCCTGCCTAACGAAACCTGCAGTCATTTTTTGAGTCTGTGTCTTCAATTAAGAACATAATTGTACTCTCTTTTGTAAGCACTGGCTTTGGGACTTTCCAGTTCCTCTGCATGGCAACACTGGCAACATTATATAATCCAGCAATCTTATTTCAGTACAATAATGTTCAATTCTCATACTGTGAAACAGAAAAACAGACAATCAAAGAAACCAACCCAACAAAAATGACCAAAAGGAGTTGAAGAACAATCTACAGTTTTAGTAATTGCTAACATGGAAGCACAAGCATGGTATGCCAATTCAAAGTAAAAATCACAGGGAAGACCCAAATTTTACTTACATTTGGAGTTTGAAAAATACATTGCTTTGCTTTTTTCTCTTTTCTACTGATGACTGACCTAGCTCAGTAGCTAGAAGCTTTAAGAGACTGTGTTGCATCTTAAAAAAAAGAAAAAAGAAAAAAGTCAGACACACAGCAGCTGTAGTAAGACTTCCATCTCTCTTTCTGCTAATGATACTTACTGTTCCAAAAGCAATGTGAGACAGCTATAAAAGAGATTGCCAGGGTACAGACTGACAGCTGCCTAGGAAAAGGCATTAGCTTGCAATCATCAACTACACAATTAATGTCTGTTTTTCTAAATACCTACCTTCATAAATAAGATTTTGCCTCTGACAGAATACATAATAGTGAAAAAAAAGTTGCTGTGGCATAGCTTTTGTTAATTAGGTGTGTCTCACAGTGACAGCATGTTAGCAAAACAGGTTCTCAGAAGTGTATTTCCCTAGGGGGCTTTTTTATTGTTATTTTTGTTAATGGATAGGTGTCTGTAAAGAAGCAGGGTGTGGTATGTGTGGGTAGTTGTAATGAATAGTTTCTTGCAGGATTCCCATACAGAAGTGAGAGGTTAACTGAAGCTCAGTGTACGTTCTATGGCCA